TGTGTGTGTGTGTGTGTGTGTGAGTGTGTGTGTGTGTGCGTGTGCGTGTGTGTGTGTGTGTGTGTGTGCAAGCCCTCACTCCTTGTTTGCCTCACTAACTGTACTGAAACTGAGAAGTTGTTATTTTGCCGGAGGCGTATCATGATTTATTTACAATTGCGAGGCCCTGGAGGTCCAGTTAAAATTAAATGCTTTTCGTCCATTTATTTTACCAGCAGCTGTTTTTCTCACTATTTATCCTGGTTTCTACCCTCTTTTCCTCACTGCATCTGTCCTTGAATAATTTTTTAATGACTTGGGCTCTAACCTAAGTCTATATGGGCGTTCTTGACACAAGTGTTGACATGTTCCCTAATGAATCTGCTTACTAAGGGATTAAAACGTGCGGTTTTGAAGAGTAAATAACCTTTAGTGAAGCAGCTTTCCAAATGTTATTCTGTCTTCTCTGTGTTGGTGGTTAAGAATGTGATTATTACAAAATGAAGGTTTATATTTGATTCACTGATGTCAATAATCCAATCTCATTCACTAAAGCACAGTATATTTATAACTAACTATATACATTTCAAACTGAGCCTAGGTTGGTTTTCATCTGTAAATATGCAGGACTACAAGGCAGATGAGGATCCAGCTGTTTTTAAGTCAGTCAAGACCGGCCGAGGGCCACTGGGACCAAACTGGAAGGTAGGGGCCCTCTTCTTATCCTCCAAACCCACATGACTTTTTCTTCTACGGAACACAAAATGAACAAAAAAAAAAAGTTCTATACAGTACCGGAAGTGTGTTGCGGCTGAGAACTAATGAAGATGAATCATGGTGCTTTGAGACACACTGCAGTGATTGGCACACACTGAGACACGTGTGTGTCCTTATGAATATGAATAAGAGAAGTCTTCAGTTGTGTGTGTGTTGAAGATTAGAGCGTCATCTCAAGGCTTGTTCGGCTGTGGAACGCCTAAAATGTTCTTGGTTTATATGTTTTTACTTGTTAATAAAGTTTTCTCCACAAAAACACTGGAATATGACCAGTAATGAGTTCTGTTTAATCTGAAAAATAGCATTGTAGTAATATTATAGACAGTGTTGGGAAGGTTACTTTGGAAATGTAATAGGTTACAGATTACAAGTTACCCTACTTAAAATGTAATAAGTAGTGTAACTTTTCAATTACTTTATTAAAGTAATGTAACTGATTACATTTTATTACGTTTTGATTACTTTTCTAAATTTCTAATGTTTTCAACTGTTAATAATTTTCAAACATGTAAACCAGTTAGGGTTAACCTTACAGTAGTACTCAACACTGATAACTGTCAGACCTTCGAAATCCTTCATCACTTGAATTAAGATTATAATATTTTCATTTTAAAGGAGACATTGGATGCAAAATATCTTAATTTGCGTATAAATGTGTCTTAGCAGTGTGTGGACACAACCACCTTACAATAATCCCCCAAAAACCTAAACAGTCTCAATTATAAAGCCATTTTGATTTTGGAGTGAATACCAGCACTCTCTTCCACCTTCAATACCACGACTGAGGTGAGACCCTTGAGCAAGGCACCAAACCCCCAACTTTGTTGGTGTGTGTTTACGGTGTGTGTGTTCACTGCTGTGTGTGTGCACTTGGATGGGTTAAATGCAGAGCACAAATTCTGAGTATGGGACACCATACTTAG